ACAGTTTACTGTCTTGAGCGTTTGACTTTTGGAAAGGGAAAATGTTACTCTCCAGAACACATTAAAATAATGTTATGAAGCTCAACTGATCTTTGTCATATTTTTGCACTATTTACAAATCCTTAAGACAAAAAATGCTTTCTTAAATCTTATCAGATAGAAGGAGAATGAATTTGACGATGATCACAATAAACCAGTGAAAAGTAAGTAATCTTGATGTTTCTTTTAAGTCGGTGATCAGAACAGTTACAGAACAGTTACGCCTTGCATTTACTTCTTTCCCTATCTACTACAATATACTTTTATAAATTTCTTATATAATAAACAGTGATGTTAAAATTTGACATATTCTTGGATAGTTAGGTTATCCACTCGTTCAGTAACTGGAAAATCATGGTAACCGGAAATGTACGTGAGAAGGCTAGCAAACAGACAAGGTAATTTGATAATGAAAATTTGATTGGAGAAGGCACAGAAAACTGAAAAATCAGTTACAGAAATCACAAAATTAATTGTTTTGCTAAAATTGGTGTTATTTGCTGTTAAAAAGATTTCACTTTTTCAGCTCAATGAATGTGAGTCAGGATTCTCGAAACTCGTTGGACAAGTTGCTAGCGAAAATGCAGACGCGCCTTATCAACAGGGAAGCAAAGCGATAGCCACAACAACAGAACTTATTGCTGACGCGATGCAGGTAAAACTTAGTTGAAAAAATATTTTAAATGATTAATCTGTGGCATTTTACAGAATATTATTTGTGAGCATAGAAGAAAAGAAAAAATGCCCTTTAATCAGCAACTAAAAACATTCGAAAATTTGCTAAAAATTGATATAGCTGCAATCGGCTTTTAGGAACATCCCAGAAATAACACTAACAAGCGATGCTCGCGCAGATTGTGCGGAAACTCCTCAGGTTCTTTAGTTAAAATTCCAACCACCCCATTTTTGCTCACTTTTCTCGTGAAAGCGAAATAACAATGGATAGCATTTTGCTATGGTTGCGCGGCGTCAGAAAATAGTATTTATTCATGTAGTGGCTATTATCGACTGCAAATGGAAACAGGTATTTTAGAATATGGAACTTGGCAATGGGTTCGTGGTGGGCCGAAACAGCGTCGTTAAGTTTTTCTTAGACCAAATTAGAAACATTTACTCCTTTAATTTATTCACAGTGAATGGCGCTGAGTCGGGAAATATCAGTTATGGTGAGGGTAGCAGTTC